GCCAGTCAGAGACCTGTCCCTTGCTAGCCCATAGGGATTGGTTCACAGACAAATACGGGACTAATATAGAGAAACTGGAGCTATTCCCTGGACTTATGCAGAAACTCCTGGGAGAGAAGGACCCTCTTTCCGCTGGAGTGGCACGGCTGGTGGCCTGAGCCACCCAGGTCCAGAAGTGGCTGGGAGGGAGCAGAAGGGAAGCCTGGGGCTAAGCTCACCTGTGCCGAGCACAGAAGCCAGTCGCACCTCATAGTGGGGCTTCCCTTCTCTGTCGACCTCTTTGAAGAGCCGGGTGTTGTAGGCACTGAGGTTCTAGAAGAGACCAGGGCAGGGGTTAGAGAGTGAGGTCTGGAGGGGACAGTGGGGTGGGAAGAGGAAAATGGGCCACCCAAGGGGGAGAATGCATGGAGGCAAAGCAGGCTGGGCCTTCCCAGTTGGCTGTGGAGGGGGAGAGGGAGAGAGTGGGCAGGGACAGCCCAGGGCCGACTCTCCTGCTCTGCTCGTGACACTGTGCACTAACTTTTACTAAGCACTGACTCCAACCACTGTGCCAGGCACTGCATGGCCTCTATGAACCCAGGGCTACCGGAGGTGGGTACCACTTCACAGACATGGAAACTGATCACGTAGCTGGTAAGTGGCTGAGCTGGGAGCTCCACTGACACACGGACCCCAGAGCCACACAAGGATGTATGTGGCTTGAGGTCCTGCCTTCTCATCCTGCTCTGAGCCTGTCATTAGGTTCTACAGCCTGGGGTGGGGCAGGGGTGGCGCCTTCCCTCATAGAGGGGTGGGGGGGTAGTCAAGCAGAGACCCAGGAGTGGTCACCAGGTATGAGGGGTCTGGGACTAGGAACCCCACCAAACCGCCGATACCCTGAGATCCCCTAACCCCAAACCTGTGAGTCCAGAAAGTCTTGGGCCAGTTTGGCATCTTCCATGGTACAATTCCCAGAGAAATAGGTGGTGATTCCCTGTTGGGGAAGAGAGGGGACATGGGAAAGAGGAGTTGCCGAGGTCAGGGCTGCAGGGATGTCATCTTCCAGGATTCCTGTCCCTTCCTCCTTCCAGCAGCCTCTACCCCTTACCTCTCCATCTACCTCTAGGGGAAAAAGTTGTAAAACAAACAGATGCTCATCTCCAGCCTTCCTGCAGCCCTGCTGAGGCCTCTCTCAGGCTGGCCCACCCCTAAGACTTGCCAAGGTCCTCACCCCAGGCAACTGAGGTGGCCTCCAGAGGTGGGAAGCCTGCAACCCCCTCCTTCCCTGCCATCCCTTCCTCAGCTCCCTCTTCCTTCAGCCTTCTTCTCCTTCCCTCCATCAGCACACTGCACCCTGCGTGCAGAATGTCAGATCTGGGAGGGCATTCAGAAAGCATTCTACCCGACCTGCTTCCCATTCTACAAATGACAAAACTGAGGCCTGCAGTAGGGAGTATTGCCTCAGGAATGTGAGGCAGAGCCCATCACCTCCCCATTCCGTGTCCTTCCCTCCTTACCAAGTGGCCTGGAAGGATTCCCTCCACTCCTCCTCCACTTGGAGGAGTCGGGGCCTCACCTCCTTCCCCAGCCCGAGGTGTCGAAGCCTTGGCTCCAGACAGAACATAAGCTCCCCGCAGGTCTGCCAGAGGCCCCTGACTTCTTCTGGGTGCTGCTGAGCGGCCTCACTCCCTAGGATCACCCGTTCCAGCTTCTCCTGCAGGGAAAGGGAGGCCACTGGTCCAGCCACCCCACCCAAACCTGCCTTCCAGAGCCTCCCTATCCACTCCCAAGCTCTTCTCCCATGGCCTAAGAGCTTTGGCTCGTTGTGTGGTCCATGGACCAGCAGCACTGGGACCTGAGAAGTGTCAAGCCTCCATGTGCGGTGGCTCATGCCTGTAATCCCAGCACTTCAGGAGGCAGAGGAGGGAGACACACTTGAGGCCAGGCTTGGAAGCCAAGATAAGCCTGGGCAACATAGAAAGACCCCCATCTCTACAAAGAATAAAAAAATTTAGGCAGGGTAAGGTGGCTCACGTCTGTAACCCCACGCTTTGGGAGGCCGAGACAGGTGGATCACCTGAGTTCAGGAGTTTGAGACCAGCCGTGCCAACATGGTGAAACCCCGTCTCTACCAAAAATATAAAAACTAGCTGGATGTGATGGTGCACACCTGTAATCCCAACTACTTGGGAGGCTGAGGAAGGAGAATCTCTTGAACCCAGGAGGTGGAGGTTGCAGTGAGCTGAGATCCTGCCACTATACTCCAGCCTGTGTGACGAAAGCAAGACTCTATCCCAAAAAAAAAAAAAAAAAAAAAAAATTAGGCCAGGCACAGTGGCTCATGCCTGTAATCCTAGCAATTTGAGAGGCCAAGGTGTGAGAATTGCTTGAGCCTAGGAGTTCAAGACAAGCTTAGGTAACACAGTGGGATTCTGTCTCTACAAAAAAAAAAATTTTTTTTTTTTTGTAGAGACAAAATCTTGCTATGTTGCCAGGTGCCAGGCTGGAGTGCAATGGCGCAATGTCGGCTCACTGCAACCTCCGCCTCCTGGGTTCAAGCAATTCTTCTGCCTCAGCCTCCCGAGTAGCTGGGACTACAGGCATGCGCCACCACACCAGATAATTTTTGTATTTTAGTAGAGATGGGGTTTCACCATGTTGGCCAGGATGGTCTCAATCTCTTGACCTCGTGATCCATTCACCTAGGCCTCTCAAAGTGCTGGGATTACAGGTGTGAGCCACCACGCCCAGCCCTCTACAAAAAATTTTTTAAAAATCAGCTAGGCGTCGTGGTGGCAGGTGCCTGTGGTCCCAGCTACTCTGGAAGCTGAGGATGATCACTTGAGCCTAGGAAGTTGAGGTTGCAGTGAGCTGTGTTTGTGCCACTGCCCTCTAGCCTGAGTAAGAGAGTGAGGTCCTATCTCAAAAAAAAAAAAAAAAAAGAGAAAAAGAAAGGAAGAAAATTTAGCTGGTGTGGTGGTGCATGCCCACATTCCCAACTACTTGGGAGGCGAAAGTAGGAGGATCACTTGAGTCCAGGAGGTTGAGGCTGAAGTGGGTCATGATCACACCACTGCACTCCAGCTTGGGTGACAGAGCAATGCCCTGTCTTAATGAAAAAATGTCAGGCTGGGTGCTGTGGCTCACATCTGTAATCCCAACACTTTGGGAAGGCCAAGGTGGGCAGATCACGAGGTCAGGAGATCAAGACCATTTGACTAACATGGTGAAACCCTGTCTCTACTAAAAATACAAAAACTTAGCTGGGCATGGTGGCATGCGCCCGTAGTCCCAGCTACTCAGGAGACTGAGGCAGGAGAATTCCTTGGACCCAGGAGGTGGAGATTGAAGTGAGCAGACATGCCACTGCACTCCAGCCTGGGCAACAGAGCAAGACTCCGTCTCAAAAAAAAAATGTCAAGCCTTGGGCCCCCACAGACCTGCTAAATCAGATGCTGAATGTCAGTAAGATTGCCAGGTGACTTGTGTGCATGTGAAAGTCCCGGCTCTTAAACCTGCTGTAAGAACCACCTCTGCCCTAAACAGACTCAAGCCTCATAACCCTGGTGGGGATGCCCCCTGCCCAGCACTCGCCACTGTTCCTGGTGATGACCAACGAGCTCCATGTTTGCGAGCACCTAAAAGGTCCAGAACGTTTCCACATCCCGCCCTTGTTCCACCTGAAGATCAGCAGTCAGGGAGAGCTGTGCTTTTCATTTATACACAAAGAGGCTGCAGCACCCAGTGAGGCTGGTGACACCCACAGTCACGCAGGGTGACAGCAACAGGCTCAAGGGTCTCTGCTTCTGATACTCTGGTTAGGGCTCCTTCTACTGCATTCTCCACCCCTACCCCACCAAACACCTATCTCCACTTCCCCAACCTCCCTTGGCTCACCTTGGGCAAGTTGGGAACAAACTTGGTATCACCAAAGGACTTGTAGTTGCCCATGTTGGAGTAAACACCCGCGGCATAGACCAGGAACGCCTGAAGGGGGAGGCAGGCATCAGAGACCTAGGAAGCACAGCCTCCCTGACCCCAGTGACACTTCCTCCTGAGATGCAAATGCCCCAGCAGAACCAGTGTGGGTGAGGCTAGGAAATCTGTGGACAGGACCCAGGTCCTGGGAAGCCCCAGTCTGGCCCACACTGACTTTCACAGACCCATTTTCACACCCTCATTGTCCTGCCTAACTGATCTTCTGGGCAGTTCCCACACACACCTAAGCGCTTGTCTGTCTTTGCCCTCTCCATCCCAGCACCCTCTCAGCCACCTGAGGCTTCTGTATCCTTTAAGACCTAATTCCAGCACCACCTCCCTCCTCCTGGGAGCCTGTCCTCAGCCTCTGACTGTCAGGCAGCTGGCCTCGGAAGCAAGCAACACATGTTAGAGCCGGAGGCGCCTTAGTCATCTATCTTCTCTGTGGCTTCTGCTGGCCCCAGATCTTCCTCTGGTAATAAGGCCTCAGACCTCCTCTTGTGGGTGGGGGGCTGGGGGATCTCCCTTCCCCCAGCTCCAGGGATGGGCATGTAAGCTAGCTCAGCCAGTCTGAGAAACCACCATCCCTGGCTACAGGGATGGACCTAAAGCTCAAGCTGGCCTAAGAGCTTTACCTAGGACATTTCCCATTGGCAAAGAGCCTCTGTACACCAGGGATCATCAGGCCTGGAACCCCGGAGCTCCCCTCCAGGAGTGAGAAAAGCAACCAAGCTGAGAGATGAAGATTGCATCCCAATGGGAGCACTGAATCCCTGCATCCAGCCCTGCCTGAAACTTCCTCTAGACCTGGACTTTTCCATCATGTGAGACAATAACTCTGTTTTTCATGTAAGCCAATTTGAGTTGGGTTTCTGCTACTTGCAAACATAAGAATTCCCCTGAAAACAGTAACGCTTGGATTGTACCTTTTCATTTATAAACATTTCCACAGATTATTAGCTCTTTTAATGAGTAAGCCAAGCCCTCAAGATGGGAAGTGATTGCCCAACGTTCAAAAGAGGTAGAGGAAACAGCACATCAGCTCAGAGAGAAAGAATCCAATCCCTTTATTTCACATATAGAAAAACAGGCCATATTCTTGTACATTCTTGGTGGGAATATAATGCAGTGAAGCTTTTTTAGATGATGATTTAACAGAATCAGTCAATTGTAAATGTACAGAGCCTTTGACCCAGCAGTTCTCCATCTAGAAATAGATCCTCCTCACATGTGTGCACAAGTATGCTCACCATGGCACTGTTTGTAAGAAAAACAGGGCAAGCTAAATGTCCAGCAATAAAGAAAAGAGTAAACTGATTATAGTGTACACTGTTATGGAATGCTTCACAGCCAATAAAAAAGAATGAGGTACATTTATATGTACCCCACGGAAGTTCTCCAAGAACTGGCATTCAATGGGAAAAGCAGGACACGAAGCAGGAAAAGAACATTATCTCATTTCTATAAAAGCAAAAATAAGGAACTGAGTCACCATGCATGTACACATATAGGAATGTAATACACAGATGGCATTGAAAAGGCTGTAACTGGCCGGGCACGGTGGCTCATGCCTCTAATCCCAGCACTTTGGGAGGCTGAGGCAGGTGGATCACGAGGTTAGGAGATCGAATCCATCCTGGCCAACATAGTGAAACCCCGTCTCTAATAAAAATACAAAAATTAGCTGGGTGTGGTGGTGCGTGCCTGTAATCCCAGCTACTCGGGAGGCTGAGGCATTAGGATTGCTTGAACCCAGGAGGTGGAGGTTGCAGTGAGCCACGATTGCACCACTGCACTCCAGCCTGGTGAAAGTAAGACTCCATCTCAAAAAAAAAAAAAGGCTGTAACCAAGGCCAGGCATGGTGGCTCACACCTGTAATCCCAGCACTTTGGGAGGCTGAGGCAGGTGGATTGCTTGAGGCCAGAAGTTCAAGACCAGCCTGGCCAACATGGTGAAAACCCAGCTTTACTAAAATTACAAAAATTAGCCAGACATAGTAACACATACCTGTGGTCCCAGTTACTTGGGAAGCTGAGGCATGAGAAGTGTTTGAACCTGAGAGGCGGAGGTTTGCAGTGAGCTGAGATTGTGCCATGGTATTCCAGCCTGGGTGACAGAATGAGACTCTCACCAAAAAAAAAAAAAAAAAGGCTGTAACGAGCCTCGGTGGTTACCTCTGAGGATGATTGATCTTTGGGTTTTGTTTTGTGTCTTTCTGCATTGCTGCAATGCACTAAGAATTCATGTATTACTTGACCAATACATCTAAAAACAAAAACCAAGAGACAGGCAGAACATTCTTTCCAGGGCCACACAGTGTGGTAGAGAAGAACTGGTCCTGATCTCAGACCTCCTGATTCCGACTCTGGACTCCTTCCTCTGCCTTCCCTGAATCTCCACTACAGTTTCTTTTGCTATAATCAGAGCAGCCACCATTTATCTTGAAGTCAGGCACTGTTCTAAGTGGATCATCACAACACGAAGAGGTACACACATCCCACATGCATATTTTACAGATGAGAAGACTGAGGTTCCAGAGAGGGGAGGTGCCTGAATTTGTAACCTTTGGTTTAATCCTCCACCTGCCCCTTGAAAGAGACAGACATTTGCATCCTGGCCTTTCACACCCAGAAGCCATTCAGGAAATGCGGGTTGGCCCGAGAGAACTGACCTGATAATCCTCCTCCGTAAGGCCCTCGGCCAGGGCATGTTGGCGCAGCTGGTCGGGGTCCTGCGCACGAAAGAGGCGGCTGAGAAGAGCATAGATGTAGGGGGCCTCGGGGGAGGTCTGCAGCAGCACGGCCAGGCCTCCGTACCAGGCCGCACGGGACAGGTGGTGGGCATAGAGGCGCTCTGAAGGTGACAGCAGGCGGAAGGCCTCACGGCAGTCCAGGCTAGACACACCGATGTCATTGGGCAGGATGTACTGGGTGTCCGCCATGAGCCCTGCTGAGAACCATCACTATCATCACAGCTGTCGTTTACCCCACACCAATTGCATACCTGGTTCTGAACTCTTATGATCTCATTTAATCCTCCCAAAAGCCCACATGGAAAGGAATACTATTGTACCCATTCACCAGATATGCTAACTGAGGCTCAGAGAATGTGAGATGACTCACTCAAGGAGGTCACAAAATATACTGGTGGACCACATTTGGTCTGTAGCCCCAATATCTTAAAGATTGACTCTAAGGCTGGGGATGGTGGCTCACGCCTGTAATCCCAGCACTTTGGGAGGGTGTGATGGGTGGATCACCTGAGGTCAAGAGTTCAAGACCAGTCTGGCCAACAGGGTGAAACCCCTTTTCTACTAAAAATAAAAAATTTAGCTGGGCGTTGTGGTGGGCGCCTGTAATCCCAGTTACTGGGAAGGCTAAGGCAGGAGAATTGCTTGAACCCAGGAGGCAGAGGCTGCAGTGAGCCAAATCAGGCCATTGAACTCCGGCCTAGGCAACAAGACTCCATCTTAATAAAAAAAAAAAAAAATAGACTCTAACTACCTAGTGTTACATATGGGGAAACTGAGGTTCAGAGAGGCTAAGAGCCTTGCTTAATCCCACAATAGAGACATCAGCAGCAGAGACCCTCATCTCTAGGCTCCCAGCCCAGGCCCCTCCCTGCTTCCTTGTTCAAAATTCCTTTTTTCAGAAGGAGTCTCACTCTGTTGCCCAGGCTGGAGCGCAGTGGCTTGATCTCAAACTGCAACCTCTGCCTCCCGAGTTCAAGCTATTCTCCTGCCTTAGCCTCCTGAGTAGCTGGGACTACAGGTGCGCGCCACCAAGCCCTGCTAATTTTTATATTTTTGGTAGAGACGGGGGTCTCACTATTTTGCCCAAGCTGCTCTTGAACTCCTGACCTCAAGTGATCCGCCTGCCTCGAACTTCCAAAGTACTGGGATTACAGGAGTGAGCCACCGCGCCTGGTCTTTGTTCAGAATTCTTGACACTTTCCACTGCGCTCACAAGGATAGAGTGCCAAGCCACCAGATGGAAGGCTCAGCCTTTGGCAAGGACTCAGCCCCTGACTCCTCAAAGTCAAGTCCATTGCTTCACTTTTCTGTACCTCCGTTTCCTCCTCTGTGAAAGAGGGAATAGCCCCAGTCTTACCAGGTGGGTGCACTAATCAGATGAGGTCGTCCTGGACGGAAAGTATCCACAGCAATAAATGACTTTCCTTGAACCTGTCCCATCCTCATCCCTCTAACTGCTTTTCCTCGGCCCTCCATTCTTCGACTCTCTCCTTGTGCTCCGCCAGGGAAGCCACAGAAGTTCACAACCAGAAGAAACCCCATTTTACAGATAGAGAAACTGAGGCTCAGAAGGGCCAACAATTTACCGAAGGTCTGACAGCCCCGTTGAGACCCGGAGATACCCCAACCCGCAGCATTCTCCCCGCCACGCCCCGTCCCGGCTGAGACTGAGTTCCGCGTCTCCCCGCCCGGCCCGGGACTCCAGAGGCTCTGCCCTAAAAGCACAATCTCCAGGTTCCGAGAGGGCTGTTAACTCTTTGCTGCCCGGAGTGCCCCTTGGCCTCGAAGGCCGGATGAATTTGGAGGCGGTACTGGAGAGTGAGCAGAAAGGGAATGATTTTGCGCTCAGTACAGATTCGCCTTGGTTCCCCGGGATGACGCACTGTGACCCCAAAAACCAGGGCGCCGCGCCTCACCTGCAGCTGCTGCTCCGTTCGCAAACTCACTTCCTGCTTCCGGCTCCCCCATTCATTGGGGCTCTGCGAACCCCGCCCCCTTTGGCCAACTGCCTGGTCCCGGGGATCAGATGGGCGTCAGTTCCAGCCAATAGACGTGCCAAGGCGACCTTCTCGGCCCGCCGGCTCCCGCCCCGCGGATTGGCCCCGCGGGCTCGGCCTTTTGTCCCCAGGCCGCACACGCGCCGGACCGGGGACCTCTGTGCCCCGCCTGGCCGCGGCCTAGTCCCGGCAGACCGGACTGACAAGGTCACCAAGCTGGCAAGGGTATCAGTGACTTGAGAACCCCCCCGCTTCCCCAGCCCCGATCCCGCTTTCCTTTGGGTTTCACCCCAGGGTCCCGGACCTCACTTTTGCAGGTGGGAACCTACACAATAGGAGTAATGTGGCTCCACCTTCCTCACGGGACTCGGGACCTGGGGTTGGAGACTTAGAGGCTGCAAAGCTATCGGTGCCGGGAATCCGGGCTACTGTCGAGCCGACCCGGGCCACGGCTGAGGTGGTCCCACCCGTGTAGGGGCGCTAAGAAACGCCTCGAGTGCTTCACTGCACCACCACCCACCCGCCACGGGCCTGGAAGCAGCCGCTAAACATTCCCGAGCCTCAGTTTCCTCAGCACAAACAGGCTGGCAGTTTCCTGGTGCTTGACAGAAGCCAGATGGCTGAGAAAGACTTCTGCGGCCCCAAAAGGGAGTCCAGGGCAGAGGCGGGCTTGCGGTCCACTTTTTACAGGTCTGGACAGGCTCACACCTCGGTCTGAATGGGGCATGTGGAAGGACCTAGGCCGAGTGGGGGGTAGTCTAAGTGAGGGCGCAGGGTCAGACCGGGGGTGGAGCGAGGTTGTCTGGAAGTTTTGGCTCTTTGAGCCGGAAAACCAGGCTAATAATTGAATCCAATCCAAGGGATATTATAGGTTGTGATGTGTTGACTGCAGTGCCACTCCCTATAGTTGTGAGGGGCTTTTAGGGACTGAAACCCCACAGTCTCCTTGCTGCGCCTGTGTCTAAGCCAGGCAGCGTCTGCCTACCAGACACCAGTTTCAACCACAAAGGCGCCCAAGGCCCTGCTTGGCACAAGAGTGTTACAAGCTTTTAGCTTTGATGATGACTTGTTATATGGGGGAGTTCAACAAGTTCGTCAGTGTCCTCAGGAAAGTCACCCCTCTTCTTTCCTGTGCCTCCATTTTAATTGTCTTTAAAATGGGTGTAAAGGGCTGGCTGTGGTGGCTCACGCCTGTAATCCAAGCACTTTGGAGGCCAAGACGGGCGGATCACCTGAGGTCGGGAGCTCAAGACCAGCCTGACCAACATGGTGAAACCCCGTTTTTTTTTTTTTTTCTTTTTTTTAGAGACGGAGTTTCACTCTTGTCACCCAGGCTGGAGTGCAATGGCGCGATCTCGGCTCACCGCAACCTCCGCCTCCTGGGTTCAGGCAATTCTCCTGCCTCAGCCTCCTGAGTAGCTGGGATTACAGGCACGCGCCACCATGCCCAGCTAATTTTTTGTAGTTTTATAGAGACGGGGTTTCACCATGTTGACCAGGATGGTCTCGATCTCTTGACCTCGTGATCCACCCGCCTCGGCCTCCCAAAGTGCTGGGATTACAGGCTTGAGCCACCGCGCCCGGCCTACCCCGTTTTCTTAGGGAAAAAAAAAAAAAAAAAAGTAAAATGGGTGTAAAGTTGACTGACAGGTGAAGTTGAAATATGCACAGGTAAAGGAGGTAGTGCTGTCCATTGCCAGCAGGGGCAGCTCAGGCAAGCAAAAGATTTCAGTGCTCTCAGGATCCCCAACTAAGCTGCGTGATCACATTTTTATGATTACAGATAATATGAGCATGTATTGAGGTCCCTTGCTACCAGTTTGGCATGGAGGACCTTATTTAATTCTTGCAAAATTCCTGAGGTATCATCACTTTACCCATTGTACAGATGGGGAAACTGAGGCTGAGGTTCACCACCTGCTGTAACGCCACACAGTTCAGGCGTCCCTGAACTGGGGCCTGGCCTGATTCAGATCTCGCACTACACTGTCCCCTTCACCTGACTCCAACACACACACACACACACACACACACACACACACACACACACACACACACACACTCTCTCTCTCTCTCTCTCTTGCATGGAGCAGTCTATAACTGGAGTCATAACTCCCCAGCCTTGGCTCTTCCCCATGGGAATGAACAAGGGGTAGGTGAGGAGTAACACTTATGAATCAACTGTTACAGGTGCCCTCCATATATTCACAACCACCTGGCAAGGTAGTGACTGTTATTCCTTTTAACATTGAGGAAACAGGCTCTCAGAACTGGCAAAGGCAGAGCTGGGACAAGACCAGGGCTGTCTGATCCCCTCCACCAATACCTGAGTACTTGGAAGAGTTGGATTTTTAGTGCTTTGTTGTATATATATGGGGGGAGAGAAGTTGGAATGCTCCAATGCTTCCTGTAGCATCCCCACCCTCCTTCTTGCCCCCACTGCATCAGTGCCATGCTCTGGAAGCAAGAATCTGATCACACCCTCCTCCTCTCATCACATGTGGTGCCCTCGATCCTTGCAATAGCCCAGGCCTGGTCTCCCTGGCCCCAACCAACTGTGCGGCCTTGGGCAGGTCCGTCCTTCCCCTTGGAATCTGCACTCCCCTAGGCTCTGCCATCCGCCTTCTCCTGGGGACCCAGATCAGGTCAGGCCTGTACTCAGACCTTCTTCTCTTCATCTCCAGAACAGCCATCTGTCTTCCTGGCTCACTAACCCGAGGAATGGTCTGGGAGCAACCCCAGCCACATCCCCACCTGTGGCCAGGATGAGCAGGAATCTAGTTCAGGCTTGGCTTCCACAGCAATCAAGGCCCAACAGGCCCCAGCAACCTTCCCCACTCCCCATTCCCTTTTGGGGCCCCCCTCCACACTGGGCATGTTTCCTGCCATGCCATGCTGTTCCCCTTACCTGGGCTGCCCTCCCAACTCTCCCTGCCTCTGGAGATGCTCTGCCATTCAAGACTTGGCTCAGTCTCCAGGTCCTTCCTGGGCCTTCTATAGCTCCTGGTTCTCACTGCTCCAAACACTTCCAGCCTGGCTGATGGCCCACTGCATGCTGACCTGGGGTGCAGGTGGTCAGCACAGGTGTAGGGGTCAGCTTCCAGCACAAGCACAGGTAGGTCTTTCCGCAGACCATGGGCTGCCAGAGGCAGGGCCTTGCCCACTGCAGGGGCCCTGTGCAGGGCTGGGCATGAAGCAGGTGCGTGCCCACTAATCCAGGATCCAAAACCCTGCTTGGGTCACCCCCAACTCTGTTGAAGGAAAGCAACACTGTGATGCAGAGGAGCAGCTGTGGATTCAAATCCTGGCTTGGTCACTTTCTAATTGTGTGACTTGGTGAATCTGCCCTCATCTCCTCAGAAACACAAATGGCAACACCTCCCTTCTTGGGTTACTATGAGGATTAAATAACAAAACCTCCAAGAAGCAGAGCCTGGTGTCTGGAGAGTGCTCAATGGACAGTTATTATTATTATCAGCACAGTGCGGGGCACATGGTGGGCATTCAGGGATGATGGCCCTTGTGTCACAGCCGACACTCTTGACCAGTGAGTCCTCTCTCCTCCCTTTGTTAACTCCTGACCATCCACAAATGAGTTTCAGAATCCTCCATCCAGCATCTTCCTTGGTCACAATCTTCCCTGGTCACATGGTCTCAACCTTTTGCTCCACCTCCTTCTCTGTCCCCCTGCAGTCCATGCTCTAGCCACCCTGAATCTGTCCCTGGATTCCTGGCTTACTGACACCTGAGCCTGTGCACAGGCCCTCCCTTCTGTATAGAGCACGCTTCCCATCCTGTGGACCCGGAGGGTTCCGAGCAGCCATTGAGGCTGAGCTCCTATGCCACCTCCTCCGTGAAGCCTCCCTCACTTTTCCATGACCAGTGAGGACTGCCACAGCCCAATCATACTCTGATCCTGGCACACATGAAGCTGTGTTGCCATTTGGTAACGGTCTGTCATCCACTAGACTGTGAACTCTGCCAGGTGGGGAACCAGGTCTGATTGCCTCTGTATCCCCAGAGACCACTTAGCACAGAGTCCAGCCCACTGGCTATCAGCAAATGCTTGGCCCAGCCTGCCACCTACCCACCACTCACTCTGGGGCTGGAGGCATTGCACGCATGCGGGGCACGTGGGACTTGTGAGGGCAGCTGAGCATCGAGGTTTATAGAGGAACCCAGGGTGGCAGCAAGAAGGATAAGTGTCTGAAACTGGGTTGGCAGGCTCAGGGCACAGCCAGCCTAAGCTGGGGGTCAGGGGCCCCTGACCCCTTCACTCCCCCAGGGGCACACAGTGTCGGCGGCACGATGTGGGATGCCCCAGGAAGGGCAAGGGCATGGGGCTGGCCTTTCCTCCATCAACCCAGGACAGAGCCAGTGCTGAAGGCCCCATTGGCATGACTGGGGTGGAGATCTCGGGGACCTCCTTGGGGGGGCCACAGTTGGGAGGAAGGGCGCAGCCCATCCAACATGTCCATCTGGTGTGGCTATATGCCAGCAGGGAGTGTCCCACATGCAGAGCTCCCTCTGGGCTGCAGGAGGTGGGGACCTGGGCGGGCAGGTGGGCACAGCAGCAGGGGGCTCCAGGGAGCCTAATCCAGTGGGCCCTGGAAAATGAGACGGACGCAGCCATGCTCGCCGGTAAGCCAGGCCCCGCAGAAGGGGCAGGCAGCATGGAACGCGTGGGTGCCGTGGGGCAGTGGTGTCTGGGCCCAGTAGCGGGCAGTCTTCTCAGAGCAGACGTGGCCACAGGGTGCAAAGGCATGGCTGGGCGGCCCAGGGTCCAGGCAGAGGCCGGCCTCCTGGCCAAGCCACAGGGGCACATAGGGCCCCACAAGGCGGCAGAGAGGACATTCACGTTCCTGGGGGCCCCGCTCCCGCCGGCAGCCCCAGCCGTGGTAGCCATGGACGTGCCCGCAGCGGACGTAGACCCAGGGCTGCTGTTTGTCGGGTGCCGTGCGGCCACGGGCTGGGCTAGGGAAGGCCAGAGTGCTGAGGCCCACGGGGCACTGGGGCCGCGCTGCATTTGCCTCCTGCCGCTGGGCCTCCAGTTGCTTCAGTGTGGGAGCCCGCAGCAGCCCCGCTGGTGTGCGCCACAGCAGTGTGGCCCCACATAGGTCGATGAGAGAGCCGTCCTGTAGCACGTTGGACTCGTTTTCCACCTGCCAGAGGCAGTAGAAGGGCCTTACTGCTCAAGAGGCCCCTAATGAGCCCGCAGGTCCATCCCACGGAGCCTCCCTGGAGAGGACACCTTGGCTGGCAGGGCAGGCAGGGCAGAGGGGCAAGGCAGGCTAGGAGGCCAAGCAGGCGGGCAGGTGCACCCCAGGCACATGCTGACCCCCCCTCCCAGCGGGGCATGGGCCTTGGTTTCCCCATCTATCTAATTAGGAAGTCTGGACCCAGATAGAGTTTTTCTAAAATAAGATGTTTTCCAAAGTGCCCCCTCCTGGAAGAGGCGGGAAGACTTCTAACGAGGAATGCTCGGTACTTAGCCCAAAGCAGCTGTCCCAGTGGTTACAGTTAAAAGCAAAAACTCAGGAACTGGGCTGCCCAGGCTGAATTCTGGCCTCACCATTGACTAACTGTGTCCCTGGTCGAGTAACTTAACCTCTCTCTATCTCAGTTTCCTCATCCTCAAGGTGGATTGCACCTTCGGGCATCTCAAATGGTTCTCATGAAGATTAAATGAATCAATCAGGCTGGGTGCAGTGGCTCATGCCTGTAATCCCAGCACTTTGGGAGGCCGAGGCAGGTGGATCACTTGAGCTCAGGTATTTAAGACCAGCCTGGTGAACATGGTAAAACCCCATCTCTCCTAAAAATACAAAAAGTTAGCTGGGTGTGGTGCGTCATGCCTGTAGTCCCAGCTACTTAGGAGACTGAGACAGGAGAATCACTTGAACCTGGGAGGCAGAGGTTGCAGTGAGCCTAGATCGTGCCATTGCACTCCAGCCTGGGCCACAGAGTAACACTCCATCTCAAAAAAAAAAAATAATAAAAATAAATAAATAATCAATCGATGTAAAAACTTGGAACAGGGCATGGCAAATTGTGGGTGCTCAAGCAGAGTAGGCCTATGAATCATTCACATGCATTGTTTTAACAAATAATGCTTCCCTAGACCTCCCAGCAGAGTTGACGCTCTGGAAAGAAAAGCCATGCTTTTCTCTGAGGTTTTGCATCTCCTTGGCCGATGTGCTCATGCCTGGGAAGAGCAGCGCATGGCCCATTTGAGGAGCACAGCCATGTGACCTTGGGCATCCCCTGCCCCTCTCTAGGACTTACTCCTGCTCCTAACCTCAACTCTCTGATCTGTACCACAAGGAGCTTCCACTAACACCTGTGTCAGAACTATTCTAAGGACACTTTCCTCCTGGGAGAAAAGAACAGTGCTAAACCTGTCTGAACGTGACAGACGTGCTGAAAACTGCCAACACTTTAGGCTATAAACTGCTCGCACATAGGCCAAGTGTCACTCTTATAACAGAGTATGATTTTTTTAAGCTGCCAGCAGCCTCAAAGCCACCTGGGACTGCACGGTATGTCTGTGTGCGCCTTGCTTTGCATCACCCCCTGGACCTCCAGTGGTATGCACGCTATGCTTGCGGACCCTGGTCTGTCTGCCTGTCTGTGGGACAAGTGGCACATGCCAAGAACTCCCTGAGTCTGGGATTCCCCAACATGGAGCCTGTCGGGGTTCCCCGCGGCAGAAGGACTAGAGATCATTTCCTGGCTTGGGCAGGGAGATGGGCAGCTTGTGAGGGCCTGGCAAGGATGGGGGTGGGACATGGAGTGGACCACCTACCAGCTTGCCCCGCTGCTGGGCTGAGCGGCTGTCCCGCAATGTGTACACATTCCCACAGACCGAGATCTCCCGCCAGACACCCGGGGCTGAGTCCTCGGAGAAGCCGCCTGCCGGGTGCATCACCAGGACTCCATTGGTGGTCAGTCCATCCATCAGGCCATCTGGGGTCCGCCATTTGGCCGCCCGCTCCTGGGACCACATAAGGGATCAGATCATATCCCCCAGTGGCCCACCAGCAGGCCATGTGCCAGAGGCACAGCCCCTCTACTCTCAAGTTTAGAGATGGACCAGAGAGGCCTGGCATTGAAGCTGCATGACTTGAGCATCTCTCTGGGCTTCACTTTGCTCATCAGTTAGCTGGGGTTGCTAAGCCCTGCTGGGACCATCATTTGAATTACTGTGGGTTGGTTCACCCCAAGATGTTGCACCTCCCCAGCCTACCCCTTGCCTCACAGATAGAGTTGGTCCCTTCCTGGGGGCTCACTCACTCCAAGGAAGATGTTGCTGGAGGCGTCGAAGCCAGCGGCATAGATGCGGGCAGTATAGGGCGGCCGGCGGTCACAGAGGATGCGGCAGGCATAGCGGGAGATGGTGCTCTGGGCAGAAGGGCCCTCGGCAGCCCCTCCTCCAGGGGATGTGTCTGTTACTACGAAGTCAATCATGTTCTCCGTGGAGCGGCCAATCTGTGAGGACAAGGAGGGCAAGCAGGGACTGCCTGTGCACAGGGACTCTCATGGGCTTCCCCACCTAGAGTACCAGCAGCTGCTCTGTATGTAAGGCCACCAAACAAGGAGGCTGCTAAACCTTGAGGAAGGGGCAGTACCAACTCCTTAGGTCCTCTAGGTTCCCAGATGGGGTCTCCAAGTCCAAGAAGCCATGGCCTGGAGCTTCTCCTTCTCTGTTGCCCCCAGCGCTGGGGATCAACCCACTCAATAAATACCAGTTGATTTGCTGACAGGATAATTAATAATAATATAATAATAATATCTGCTGCTCAAATGTTAGCAGCTGATAGTGAATTCTGAGTAACTATTTGCCATAGGCCAGCCACCATGCTAAGCATTTTACGTGCAATGCCTAAGTTAATCTTCCCGTGGGGTGGGTACTATTAAGGGCGTCATTTTACAGATGAGTAAACCAAGGCCCAGAGAACTTAAGTGACGCTGGCTGGGCGAGGTGGCTCACGCCTGTAATTCTAACACTTTGGAAGGCCAAGGCGGGTGGATCACCTGAGGTCAGGAGTTCAAGGCCAACATGGTGAAACCCCGTCTCCACTAAAAATACAAAAATTAGCCAGGCGTGGTGGCGCATGCCTGTAATCCCAGCTACACAGGAGGCTGAGGAAGGAGAATCACTTCAACCCAGGAAGCAGAGGTTGCAGTGAGCCAAGAGTCTGCCACTGTACTCCAGTCTGTGTGATGAGAGCAAGACTCCATCTCAAAAAAAAGAAAAATGAACTTAAGTGATGGAGCCAAAATCTGATCCTACACATTAGCCTCTCACACCTGAACTCCTGAGCTATGTGACCTCCCACAGTCTAGGAGTCGTGAGTTTGAGCCTTGATACAGCCGCTGACTTGCTGTATGACTCTGCAGTCAGCAGCCCACACTGGGACATCCTGCTTCCTCGTCTGAAGAGAAGCAACTTTCCCATGGCCTCCCATCCTGTAGCCTCACCTGAAATGCTTGCAGAGCCTAGAGGCCTGGTGGCCAGGAGGTGTGTGGAGAGGCCTGAGCATACCTGGAACATGTCTGTGTCACTATCATGTGTATACTCCACTATGACTGAGTGGCTCCGGGACAATGTGTACGAGATGCTGTGCTGGCCACGGTTACTCAGTGCCTGAGGGGAGAAAAAAGTCACTTGCCAGGGTGTGCAGCCATGATAAGGGTATGCCTCGAGCCAGCAGCTGGAGCTCAAGGCCCAGCAGCCACTCCCTGGGAAGGGGGCAGCTCCATCCTTTGCAGAGCGTGGACAGTGCAGTGGGTGTTTCCCATGATTTAAACCCTGCAGTCACCCTAAGAATTTTCAAGTAATTGCCTCCTCCAAACTGCCTGAGGTTGCTGGGATACCAGGGAGCAGTGGCACAGTCAGAGGGTCGGGATATTCCGTAGTGCCAGAGGATGGACCACAAATGGGGTTACCAGTCTGGGCGTGGTGGCTCACACCTGTAATCCCATCACTTTGGGAGGCCCAGGCGGGCGGGTCACTTGAGGTCAGGAGTTTGAGACCAGCCTGGCCAACATAGCGAAACCCTGTCTCTACTAAAATATAAAAATTAGCCAGGTGTGGTGGTGCCTGCCTGTAGTCCCAGCTACTCAGGAGGCTGAGGTGGGTTGAACCCAGGAAGTGAAGGTTGCAGTGAGCCGAGATCACACCACTGGACTCCAGCCTGGGTGACAGAGCGAGACTCTCTCAAAAACAAAAAAGAATGGGGTTATTATTCCCATTTTACAGTTGAAGGAACTGCAGGTCAGAGGGAAACTGGCCTAAAGGCACACACCTGGAAATATCAGAGGCTGAATTCTAACCCAAATCCTCTAAAGCCAAAGGTTTTTCCTTTACCATTGCAGTGTGACTGTCGCCTCCCACTCTCTGAACCTTAGCTGCCTCTAAAATGGTGCAGCTCATTTCCATCCATTTCCATTTCCATTGGATGGAAAGAAGCAGCACTGTCTTAGAGGTAGCCAAGGTTCAGAGAGGTCCAGTGGTCAAGGAAGCATTTTGCAAATTGTAAAGAACTGTGCACATTGCAAAGGATTTCTCATTACCATTCTCGGCTAGCCCAATAAGCAGTGAGTGATGACACAAAGTGGGCTCCCCTGTTGCAGTGGGGGGCTGTGGGCAGGTAGGACTGGGAAGGCCAAAGATCTGGGCCTTGGGCAGGACTGGCGCTCAGGTCTATGGGTCAGTTGCTTGCCTTGGAGACGAGCGGCGTGGAGATGTGGTGCATGACATCTGGTTTCACTCCGTTGGCATGCGGCCGGCGGCTCAGTGCTAGGCGGCTTCGCCGGCGGCCCTTGTCCCCACTTGCCAGACATCCATTGTAGCTATAGATGTGGGGGGTTAAGAAAAAAGGGTTGCAACAGGAGACAGAGAAAGAGAGAGGGTGAACCCCTGATGAGACTTGGAGGAAACTGCCAACTTCTGGGGAGATCCTATGTTAATAAACAAGCTCTAGAAGCCCCTGAAACTAGAAGACCTACAATAACAAATTGGTGCACTGGGGAGTGGGTGGGGGGTGTCAGAACAGTTTCAAAAGCACTTTCATTCAGTTAACCAAGTATTTCCTGGACACTTGAGCCATGCCTGGTTCGGTGCTGTGCATGGGGGCAGTAGAGCACCACGGGGTCAGTTGTGGGCCCTCAGTGGAGAGGTTCCTCAGCTTCTCTATGAACCTAAATGCCACCTGCCATACCCAGACACAAGCCAAGGATGCCACAAGCCTAGAAGAAGAAAAGGGAATTCTGGCTCTAGGATCAGGTTTCTGGGAGAGGAAACACCTCTATTGGGTCTTGAAGAACTAGAAAGGGTTCACCTGTAGCAAACTGTCACTTCTCACACCACCACTAGGAACCAAAATGAAAGGAAAAAATGACCCACAACGCCACCACCTCCATGTCTATACACGTCAAATTTCCACCTGCCTTTCCAGCTCTTGTCTGGAGGGGATGGCTGTGAGAGGCACTGAGTGGGTGAGTCACAGCTCTCACTGCTGCCATGGGCTACTGGCCCCGTGTCCCTGGCCTTCATGTTACCAATCACCTAATGGAATCTGTGCAGTGGCCTGCCAGGCAAGTGGCTTTCTGCCCGTCTTACACATAAGAGAAATCAAGGCTCAGGGAGGTAAAGTGACTTGCCTCAGGCTAGTAGGTGAAAATGTCCAGATTCGAGCCTGGCCTGTCCCACTCCAGACTTGCAGAAGCCCCTCTAGATGGAGGCTCACCCTAAGCAAAGGCCCCAAGGCTGTCAGGGTCTGACGAGATCGGGGAATGGTGACTTTGGTGGTGAAGTGTGGTAGGGAGATGACGCTGGTGGGAAGGCTCTGAACTCCAGGCTGAGGACGTTATTCTGTAAGCAGTGGGGAGCCAGGAAGTTTTGGGAAAAGGAAGGGACAGGACAAATAGCTGCCAAATACAAACAAGGCCGCTTGAATCAGAATCTTCCAGGGAATTTGTTAAAATCCAGGTGAGGTCGGGTATGGTGGCCCATATCTGTAATCCCAACACTCTGGGGGGCCAAGGCGGGCAGATTGCCTGCGGTCAGGGGTTTGAGACCAGCCTGGCCAACATGGTAAAACCCCATGTCTACCAAAAATACAAACATTAGCCAGGATTGATGGGTGCTTGTAATCCCAGCTACTCAGGAGGCTGAGGCAGGAGAATCACTTGAACCAGGGAGGCGGAGGGTGCAGTGAGCTGAGATCATGACACTGTATTCCAGCCTGAGCAACAAAGCAAGACTCTGTCTCAAAAAAAAAAAAAATCCAGATTCCCTGGGCCTACCCACTGTGACAGTGATTCTGTAGGCTTGGAGAGGGCCTGTCAATGTATATTTTGAATGTTCTCCAGCCATCTCTGATGTGCAGCCAGTGTGGACTCTGCTCTGCAGGGGGCTGCCAGGTGGGCCCACACCCGTGGGTCTGCAGCTTCCCACATTAGTGGCCTTGCCTTGGGCTGGAAAGCCAGTCCTGCCTGTGGGATATGAAGCAGCTGCTTTTCCAAGGCAAGCTCTCCCAAGGGAGACATCACTTTTGCCCTTGTGAGCTCTTCCCACACATGGGCAGGGGCAGGCCTTGAGGTGGGGCAGTTCAGGACACAGGCTTGGGCCTGGCTTAAATCTGGCTCTTCCGCTTATCACATGACCTCTGTAAAATGGAGCTAATTTTTTAGGACCTGCCTCGGAGGTTCATTTTGAGAACTAAATGAGACAAAGCATTTAAAAGTGCTTGGCACAAAGTTTGGCATATTTATAGCAAGCCCTTGATAAGTGTTCACTATTACTGTTTTCTTTTTTAAAGCACATGTCAACAAACAGCAGCCTTTTGTTAAAAATCATAATGATATAGCTTATCAAATAGTTTCTTTAGGACTGATGGCAGAGAGAGGCCAAAAGGAGACCTGGTTGGGAGAGGAGAAAGAGGGAAGAGGGTATGTCCCTGGGGAAAAAGCTGAGTGGATGGTGCAGGGATCCTGGTCAGACGGAGACCAGGAAGGGATGAGGTTGGCCCGGCCGCCAGTTCACGTGGCTTCCTCTCTCCTGGCCTTCGCTTTCCCATCTGCAGAGTGCGGGTCAGCTGTGGCTTAGTGAAAGTGCACTAGACCTAGAGTAAGAAAGACCTAGGTCCAAATCCCAGCCCTGCCACTTACCAGCTGTGTGCCCTTGGGCCAGTCACTTCCCCTCTCTGAGCCTCGGTTTCCTCACCTCCTTCCTCACAGCATCTTTGTGAAGATTGAAATGAAATAATGTCCATGAAAGGGCTTGGCACAGGCCTGCCTCCCAGAACACTCGATATGTGCTGGGCGCTGTTCTATGTACTTTACAGAAATTACCTCATTCATTCCTTCTGACAACCCTCTGAGGAAGGGATTATTATCATCCCCATTTGCAAAACAGGGGAGACAGAGGCACAGGGAAGTTCAGCAACTTGCAGAGGCAGGATTTGAACTCAATCAAGAATTCTTCACCCCACAGCACACATACTAGGTGCCTTAGGAAAGGCAGCTGGTGTTACGTTTTTCTCATCTGATCAGGAACTTGGGCAGTTAGAGTTGTCACAGTAATTTGTGAAAAATGGGAAGATAAAATAATAATTATGAATTGAGGTGGGTTTGGTCTATTTTGTCTTTCAGCTGGGAAGGTGAGGAGGGACAAACAGCAGAAAGCCCTATGTGGGGGAAGGAGGGGTCGGGGCCCTTGTTCTGGCTGCGCTGGGTGTGGGGGGGTGTCCAGTGCCTCACCCCTCCTAGGCCAGGGATGCTCACCCCAAGACAATGAGTTCACCATACTTGATGGGCTCCTCGCCTGGCTGTGCATCTTCACCGGGAGAGGAGAGAACGCAAGGGCCCTTGTTCCCCCGGTGCTGGAGGTCTGAGGTTCGGGGGGACCCCACTTCAGGGTTTCCTTCCAGCACCATTCTGGGCAGAGTGGGAGAGAAAAGAGCTTTGCAGGTTCCCACCCCAGCCCTGCTCAGTCCCAGCTCCAGCCTGTGCAGGGCCGCCTAGGCTAAGGCAAGGGTGACCTTTCACCACCTCTACTGCTATGGCAACCACTTTCCCTCTGCCTCCTCTAAACTGCCTGAGGTTGCTGGGATACCAGGGATGGGTGGCACAGTCAGAGGGTCAGGATATTCAGTGGTGCCAGAGGGATGGACCAACTTGGGGTAGCCAGAGGCTACTTTTTGTCCAAGATCCCAATCTGGGATGTGCTTCAAAGAGGGGCACCCCATGAGTTGGGGGCCCTTACTCCTCATCGCAGACTCAGTTCCTGGATATAGCTCTTAGCCTCTGGACCTCTGGTTTAGTCCCTCTAATAGGTTCTTTGAATCTACCTGCCCATATGAATCTTTCTGCCCCTTCAAGGTCTAGGCCTCTGTCTGTCTGTCTGTTTTCTCAATGACTCTCTGTCCTCCCAGCTGCTGTCCTTTTCGCCATCTCTCTCCCCCATTCCCCGTCTCTGCCTGTCTGCCCGCCTCCGCCACACCATCCATCTGCCTCAGTCTCCCCATCTCGGCCTCCCCCTGCGGGCAGGCCAATGGACTCCTCCTGGGTGCTCGCCCTCCCCTCCCTCCCTCCCTGAGGTGTCTGTCTGCGTCCCGGCCACCCAGGTCTCAGGAGGCCTGTGGGGGCGGCGCTCCCCCCTTGAGCTCGGGCTGCAGCAGAGACGTCTCCCGCAGGCAGCCTGTTTGGAAAACATCCCCGCGCCGGAGGGACTGCGCCAGGGCAGGCCCGCGCCCCGAGGCAGGCAGAACGAGAACCGCGGCCCAGCGCCTACGCAGGTCGGGAGGCCTCTCCGCACAACACGCGCGCGCGCACGGCCCCGCACACCCCGGGCCCGGACAGCGCAGAGACCACCCGCACCCGCGACCGCAGGGACGCGCGGGCGCGCAGCAGCCACCGGCGCCCGCCCTCGGACCCACTCCCTCCGCCACCCCCAGACACGCAAACACGCCCCCCGCGCCCGCCGGGGCCCGCCCGGCGCAGCCCCCGCCCCCTCCGCCCCGGCGGCCTCACCTGGCCACGCTCCAGGCCCCGCTGGGCGCCACTCCCTCCCAGTCTAGCCCCTGCTCGGCCCCGGGCCGCTGCGGCGGGATGGGCCCGGCCCGCGGCGGCTCCGCGCTGCCTCGTCACGGGGACACCCGGGGCCCGGGGAGGGGGATGAGCGCGAACCGCCACGCTCCGCCCCCTGTTCTGAGGCCCCGCCCCATTGTCCCCGCCCCTAGGAAAGCCCCGCCTAGCTCCAGACTCCGCCTCTTGCGGCGAAGCTTAGCCCTCGTCGGCGGATCTCCGCCCCTTCGCGGGAGACCACGCCCCTCCCCTGGCACCGCCCTCTGGCTAGGGAAGCCCCGCCCTCCACTCCGACTGAGGGACTCCCTTGCCCCTCCTCGCGGGCTCAGGACTTCCCCTTAGTCTACGCGACCCGTCCCCCATTTCAGGCTCCCCAGACTCCGCCTCCATTTCCGGGGACTCCGGGATTCTCCCAGAGACCCGGGCGTCCCCTCCCCACCGTAGATCGGGGCCCTCACATGGCGCTGGAGGCCCCTTCCCCAGCCTTAGGCCCGAGGACTCCCCACCTTCAGCTCCGACACCCCGCCTCCCATCTGTTTGGAGGGCAGAGAGTCATTGAGAAAACAGACAGACAGACAGAGGCCTAGACCTTGAAGGGGCAGAAAGATTCATATGGACAGGTAGATTCAAAGAACCTGTTAGAGGGACTAAACCAGAGGTCCAGAGGCTAAGATGGCGCCATGCAATTAGAGGAGAGGAGGAAAATGGCAAAGGCAAAGGGGGTGTGCGTCAGCAGTGGAGGCAGACCAATTGACTAGAGTCGCAGACTTGTCTTCCAGCCCAGCTTGGGCATCCCCCATTCCCCTCCCCTCAGCCGCCTCCCCTCTGCCAGCACGCTTACACCACCCGACTTGCTGCAAAGGAAGGAGACCTCTGGGGGAGCACAGCCCCTTCTGAGCCTGGGACTCGCGAGAGATCTCCTCTATGTCAGGCGCTGTGCCCTGTGCTTTGAGCAAATTAAACCCTTTACTTTAATCCTGGGAGGCAGGCATGATGGTTGCCCATTTTACAGATGAGGAAATAGATTTACAAAACTGACTTACTTGTTGTAGTTTGCTAGAAATGGGCCAAGAGGGAATCTCAGCTGTATGCCTGACTTCAGTCACAACTCCTAACTTCTGTACCTTGTGGTTCTGACTAGGGATGGCAGGATGGAGCCTCAGAGGTGCAGAAAAGAAAGCTTGTCTGCATCAGGTAAGGTCCCCATTGCTCAGTACTCTTGGTCTGGAACTATAATTAAAGGCTGGGTTATAGTTCCAGACCAAGTCTTTCGTCTTGTGGGTGGTAGTGGTAGTGTTTTATGAGAAAATCAAGGAAGGCTGCACAGAGGAGGTGGCTTTTGACTTCCATCATGAGGGATGCATGGGAGTTTGCCTAAACATTCCTGAGAGAAAGCTGCTGCCACCCCACCCCCACAAACTTGTTGCACCTGAAGCTCCCAATCTACCAGACTCCCCTGGGGCCACCACATCCACCCCACTAGCTCCCCCACCTAAAAATAGCCAAAGATACCAACTGCTTTGCCAACTGTTCTGGGGCCCAGTGGCTAGATGAAACAAGAAAACACCAGATGGCACATTCTTTAGGGGATATGACACTAGTCACAGAGAATCTCCCTGGGAGACCCCCACCAAGCAGACCGCTGGGCTGCTGGCTACAGGTCACACAAACCTTGTGACACAGGGTAGCTGTCCTCGCTGATGCCTCCAGAGGCCTCTGTTGTGCCGGTGTGCACAGGGACCCTTGGACAGCCTCACTCCCTTGTGTACCCCCAGCTTTCAGTGCATTGCCTGCCAGAGCAGGTCCTCAGTGAACACACACTGAATCCCTGTTATAATCCCCAGTTTACACACCAGGGAGTCGAGGCTGAGGCAGAAGAAACTTGCCCCAGGTCACAAGCCAGGCAGATGCAGAGCTGATGCTTCCAATTGACATTGGACTGCAGGGAGGAAAGTCTGAGGGGGATCACCAAGACTCACTGGAGAAGGAGGCAGGGATTTCTCCTGGGGCAGAGTACTGGGATTGGAGCTGTATGGTGGGCACAGCCAGACCTTCAGGGGCCTCAGGAAGCCTGGGCGTGCCCGATCCCAGGATTGCCCAAGTAAGGGAGAGGAAGGGAGCGTTAGGACACCAGCAGCAGACACAGATGCCGAAGTTCCAACGTTGGCTTCTGGCTCTAAATCCAGCCCTCTGCCCCAAGAACTCCAGCTTCTTAATCTCCCTAGGCCTCAGTTTCCTTATGTGTAAAACGGGAATCATAATAATGATACCTACATGTGGTGAAATAAGATTTTGCAGTATTGTTTGGAAATTCCTTTGTCAGCTAGATCTTGTCCCTGTTGCATCAAAGAGAGGGACACGTAAAGGAGTAAGATATAAGCTTTATTTAATTCTTGGGTTCGAATGCCTGAAGGTGAGGGGCTTGGAATAGTTTGGAAAGGTAGTTGCATATCTAGTTGAGAAAACATGTTGAAGAAACAAAACAGGGCTGGGTGCAGTGGCTCACCCCAATGCTTTGGGAGCCTAAGGTAGGAGGATCGCTTGAGGCTAGGAGTTTGAGACCAGCCTGGGCAACGTAGCAAGACCGTGTCTCTACAAAATTAAAAAATTAGCTGGGCATGGTGGTGCCCGCCTATAGTCTCAGCTAGTCAAGAAGTTGGGGAAGGAGAATCTCTTGAGCCCAGGGGATTGAGACTGCAGTGAGCTATGAACATACCACTGCACTCCACCCTCGGCAACAGAGTGAGATCCTGTCTCTAAAAAAAATTAGGAAGAACAAAACAACAAACAAAAAACAACCGCGACAAACTCCTTCTGGGCTGGGAGATTTGGAGAGGAGAAGGGAGAGCTAAGATGCTGGGTTCTGCGCTCGAGGCCATGCTGGAGTGGGAGGGTAGGGTTGGGAAAAGACAGATCCCTCATGTAGATTTGGGGATCCAGGGCAAAGGCGACCTGGGCTTCAGTTCTCAGGCTATAGCTTTAGAGGAAAGCCCTAGAAGCAGGGTGACTACAGCAGTGTGTGGGGTTTGTGCTGTGTCTAGGAGGGCTGGTCTGTAGAGTCTTAGATGTGTGAGTGGCATGGGAAAGCCTTGAGATTTTTGTGCCCCAAAATTGCCAAGCTGAGAGAGGCTGGAGTGTCCTATGGGGTGGTGGATCAGGGTAACTGGATTGACAGCTAGAGGCCGGTAAGATACAGATATCTCAGTGGAAGCTAGCAAGGAAGGTAGCCGGCTACAGGGTCATTGGTCCGTAGGCTCCTGCTTCTCCCAGTGCCATGACACTGGGGAAGTCCCCTCAGATCTGAGAAACCATTCCAAGTAGAGGAGAAGGAGGTGGCAGAGTCCGAAGGAATGCATTTAAATCTGAAATGACTGAGAAAAGCTGAAACTTACTTTGATGACACTGTCTTCCAATAGGTGCAATGGGGACTGGAAAGAGAGATGATGTTTTAGAACAGGGGTGAGCAACCTACAACCCCTGGGGCTAAATCTAGCCTGCTGCCTGTTTTTGTAATAATGTATGGGAGCATAGCCACATCTAGTAGATTATGTACTGTGTGTGGCTGTTTTCATGCTACAATGGCAGAGTTGAGTTGTGGTGAGAGGGACTGCATGGCTCTCAAAGTCTGAAATATTTACCGTCTGGCTCCTTACCAAAAAAAGTTAGCTTAATAAGCTGGAGAATCCCCTTGGGAGGAGGTGCTCTCACGTACCCAGCAGGTGAGTGGTGCTTTGGTGAAAGGCTAATGTTCCTTTGCAGAGAGACTTCCCCTTGGGATGTTTGAATGTCATGATAGCTGGGTCCTTCAGAGTGAGTGATGCAAGACAGCAAGAAAGAAGCTGCAGTGTCTTTTTTAAAAATTATTTTTGGCCAGGTGCAGTGGCTCACGTCTGTAATTTCAGCACTTTGGGAGGCTGAGGCGGGCGGATCACCTGAGGTTGGAGTTTGAGTCCAGTCTGACCAACATGGAGAAACCCTGCCTGTACCAAAAATACAAAATTAGCCAGGCATGATGGCAAGTGCCTATAATCCCAGTTACTTGGGAGGCTGAGGTAGGAGAATCGCTTGAATCCGGGGGATGGCAGAGGTTGCAGTGAGCCAAGATCACGCAACTGCACTCCAGCCTGGGCAAAAAGAGTGAAACTGTCTAAAAAAAAATTTTATATATAATTTTTTCTTTTTGACTTAGCCTCAAAAGCTACACACCTTCATTTCTGTCATACATGATTGGTTCCACAGATCAGCCCTATTCAGTGTGGGAAAAGGCTACATGAGGAGGCAGGGATCATTGTGGGGGTTCTTGGAGGCTGGCTACCACAGACTGCCTTCTGACTCCCCTTTCATATTAAAAATGCATCCTCCCTCTCACCGACCCCCATCTTGCCCCATTACAGCATCCACTGGAAGTCTAAAAATCTCACCACCTTAATCAGGTCCAGGTGTGCATGAAGTCTCTTGGGTATGGATCCTTGGATATAACCCCTCAAGTACAGTTTCTTTCCATCTGAAAACCTGTGAATTAAAGAGATGTTATCTTCCCCCACAAACCCAACAAACAATGGTGGCATACACTAACTGATATATATCTTTGTGTTCAAAAAGTGGCAATGACAGGGCACGGTGGCTCACGCCAATAATCCCAGCACTTTGGGAGGCCAAAGTGAGTGGATCACTTGAGGCCAGGCATTTGAGACCAGCTTGGCCAACATGGCAAAACCCTATCTCTACTAAAAGTACAAAATTAGCTGGGTGTGGTGGCACATGCCTGTAATCCCAGCTACTCCGGAGGCGGAGGCATGAGAATCACTTGAGCCTGGGAGGCTGAGATGGCGCCACTGCATTCCAGCCTGGGTGAAAGAGCAAGACTCTGTCTCAAAAACAAACAAACAAGCAAACAAAACAGGCCAGGCATGGTGGTTCACGCCTGTAATCCCAGGACTTTGGGAGGCCGAGGCAGGCGGATCGCAAGGTCAGGAGATGGAGACCAGGTACAGGTGAAAACCTGTACCTAGTGAAAATACAAAAAAATTAGCCGGATGTCGTGG